GAAGAGGAGGAAGAGGAGGCGGAGGAGGAGGAGGAGGAGGAGGAGGAGGGAGCAGGGTGAGGAGGAGGGGGAGAGGTGCTCAAGCGCCATGTGCTCAAGTGTGGCAAACGCCACTAGCTCCAGCCTGGTGCCAAAGGTTTCCGTGTGCGCATGCCCTGGGGCTGCACCACCGAATGATGTGGAAGCGTGAGCGCCGATGGCGGGCTGGGTGCTGACATCGTGTGAACGACGTAGAAAAACCAGGCAACTTCGCATCAGCCTTTGCCATTATGGACATGTGTCTTCTGTTACATCTACTGGTAGGGGGCTCGAGGAGCACCCTGAGGGCCTGAACCGAATATCGGTAACAAGTTTCAGCGTCTGGAGGCTGATCGTGATGGTACTTCATTGTTTGGTAAGACTTTTCGCACACCCCTTTCGTGGTATGGCCCGCAGCCCCTGGAGTGGCGATGCACAGATTCGGTTACGGTGACGGCATGGTTCATGTATTGACCGCAATACCCAACCTCTTCACTATGGTCACCCAGCCTAGGCATGGGGCGCGCTGCTCGAGTTTGTTCACATTCGTCAGCTGGCCAAGTTCTTCTTCACCCGCGGAGGTGGGGCAGACCATGGGTTGGTGGTCGGATTGGCGGTTGTTGTTTGCTCTACGTGCTGAATCGTGAAAGTTTCATCTTGCAACATCGAGGTTGGGAACATGTTCGGAAGCACGTGTGGGGGAAACACTTGGTGGCGGTGCACCGTCTACGTGTCCATAGTCGCAACGGCTGTGTTGTATGCGTTCCCCAGTCAACGGTCTTGGTTAGTTAATCCCCGGCATCCGTTTGATTCTGGGTGCCGTAATTGCTCCGTCGCGTACATGAATTCGGCCTCTTCCTGAAGGAGTGGCGGTGAGGGTTTGGCCACTGGCCTGCTTTTCCGACTTGCACCGAAGGTATCGAAGGCGGAGGGATGAGAAGGAGGAGGGATGGGGTATGGGGGGAGGAGAGGGGAGGAGAAGAGGAGGTGGAGAAGGGAAACGGGGAGAGGAGATGGGGGGTGATGGGACGCGGGTATGAGCGATGCGCTACACTCCGAAAAAAGCCTCATGCACCAGTACTGAACCGATGGTGAACAAAACTGGAGGCTAGGCGCGAGAAATCGCAGTATCCATACAGACGGTGCCTTGGCGACGACACTGGAACGTGCCCAGGCAGACTGGGGTACCGCAGATCGATGGGAGTCAGCGCCTGCTCTTACAAGATCTCTTGGAGTCAGGGATGAATGACATCAGGCTGGGAAGACAGATGAGGCAGCAAAGAGAAGCGCATGCTTCTGAAATCGCATCAGTCCTCCCGAAAAAAAACAGCGCGGCCCACGGCTCGCGCGCCGACCTGACCAGCTCGAGCCGCTCAAATAACGGCAGTGCACGCGCCGCCCCTCAAAGAGCCACCCGCGGGCGACGACTCACCCCCACGCGCCCGGGCGGGGGACCTGGACCCTAAGAAGGATGGGTGGGGGTCCACCGAGAATTGAGGGATGAAGAAACGGCCCTGCCCTGGGTTGCAAATGCGTGGTCTGTCAACCTCCTGGGACCCCCCAGAGCCTAGAGAGCCGCCAGGACGCGGCACATCACGCAAAGCTTGCCCTGTCAGCCCACCGGAGCTTCAGCGCACAGCGCCTCGTCAACCAGGGTAGGGGCGTGTTTTTATGCCCTTGAGATGAGCCCGACCAAGGGGACCGCGACAACGCCCGTGCCCTGGAAGCGTGCCGGGTGGGCCACCGCAAGGGTGCCCCACGGGCAAACAGGGGCGACAGACGGACAGCTGCCCGCCTGCCATCCCGTGAAAGGAGCCCCAGCGGCACAGGTGCCGACGGAGGAGGGAGGAGAGAGGAGATGCAGCCGCCCCGGCCCGCCCGACGACCACCCCCTCCCCCCGGGCCCGAGGTCCTGAGCAGCTGCAGGGTGTACAGGATCTGGACGACGTACGCCAGGATGGCGAAGACGGCGGACCACGCGAGGCCGGCGTCGGTGTACCTCGAGGGGGAGGTCCGGAGGCAACCTCCAGGAGGCCCTCGCGAGACTGCTGCACGCTCGCGCCGCCCCACGGAGCCACGGCGCTGGCGGTGCTCGGCCCCTCTCCGCCTCCGCCGGCCCCTCGCCGGGCCGCGGGCCCGCCGAGAGACTGCTCTCGGGACGGAAGACCGACCCCCCCCCCCCCGGGGTCGGGCAGGAGTCCCATGGGGGCCTTGCAGAGCAGATCCGCTACCTCCGAGAGGCCCGGCCGCGACCTTCTTGCATCTGTCGTCGCCGACGCTTTTTCCGGCGAGCCCGTCCCCTGGACTCTGGCCCTTCTCTCCTTCCGGTGCGTCTTTTGGCCCACCCCGTCTCCGCGTCCATGCCTCGGACCGTGGTGCGCGGTCGACTCGACGAGTCGGACCGGCGATCGCAGCGAGTCGCATCGGCGGTAGAATCGGCAACCTGGTCGGGCGAGGTCGCATCCGGCGGGGGTCGGCAGGCTGGCAGGCCTCCGTCGAGAAGTCGGAGCCCCCCACATCGCAATCCGAGGTCGACTCGGAGCGGGATCGGAGGCCACCGAGCTCGGATCGAGTCGAAGGGGCCGAGACGAGCCCTGCATGGGGTCGAGACATCCAGGTGTACCCCGATCGGGTGCGCCGAGGAGGGGGGGGGGCAAGGTCGGTTTTTTGGAGGTTGTGAGAGGTTTGAAAGTTCGTTGTGGGAACTCATATGTTCCTCACGTGTAGTGGGTTATTCCGCGTCGCCCTGTCAATTTCTCAGGACCGTAGCTGCAATAGTACGATCAAAAGACGGAGGGGAACCGAGTTCGGATGGAGGGGGGCCAGGAGGCAGGGGGTCAGAGGCCTGGAGCTGGGCACCAACACCAGCACAGGGCCCACCGGTCGGGGGCTGCTGAAGGTACCCCTGGCCCAAGGTGACCCCAGCTTTTCGTTCCGCCTTGGAGCCCCCATGGCAGGGGGCCTCGTCAGGGGTGCCCTGGAGGTCGTGGGGCCTCCTTGAAAATCGCAACGAAGGGCAGCAGCACCGAACAGAGTTATCGTTCTACCATCAGGAGCGCCGAGTGAGGAATCGACATTTTCGGCCCCGAAGGAGCACGGGTGCACGAGGAGCGCAAGAGGAACAGCCATGGACGGACCTGGGGAACATCGAGCCCCTTCCGAAACCGAGCAGTTCCCTAGTTGAGCGTCTTGACTGCGAGGAAACGACTCAAAAAATTGAAACGAGCATGGACGCGAATGACGAGCCTTCCGATCCGCCAAGCCCCGCTGCCACTGGTGATCCCGGCGGCCAGCTCACTCAGCGAGAGCGGGGGGAGAGGAGAGGAGAGGAGAATAAGGGATCGAGGTTCCGTGGGACTCCACACGCCTCCTGGATGCCTCCGGGGGAGCCCGAAGGACTCCGCGGACACGGGGATGCCTCTGGACACCGCCGGAGACCCCAAGAGGCCATCGCCGGTGGAGCGCTCGAGGAGGAGGTCTGCTCACCTTCTTCGAGGGGCCCGCCTTCGAGCCCCTGGGGCGCCCGGCAGGGGGGGGGGGGGCGGTGCCCTTGCTGCGGGGCGAGGCCCCGACAGCCGGTCGTCAAGAAGCAACTCGCCGTGTCTGCCTCCGTGGGCCTCTCCTGGGCCTCGGGCGTTGGAGCGGAATGGCCCACGACGAGAGGCCCTTCTTGAGGGCCCACGCTGTCAAGAGACATGACGTCGGAGGTCAGGACAAGTGGATTTAGAAGACGAGAAAAGACACAAACTAATCATAAACTTTCGGAGCGGGGGTCCAGCGCAGATCCAAGAAATCCGCGCGGAGCTCCTCAAAGATTCCGTATCAGTTTGTTGTTTTCCTTCGAGGATGTTTGGATTGGACCTGAGCTCGGTGCTACCACGGCTCAAATCTAAGAGCAGCTGGCCAGAGCCATGGCCTCGCGAGGCGGGCCCAGGCTCTCCGCACCTGGGAGGCACAGAAGTGTCGCAAGATTCGGGGACTCCAAGCTCGAGGCAGACGCACAAAGAGGAGGGGGAGGACCCCTGTCTAACTTTTGATCCGCGGGCCGAGAGCGCACCGCTTCCGGTCGAAGCTGAGCGGGCCGCGCGAGGCTTGAATGTTAGGCGGGGGGAGGGGAGGAGAAAGCGGCGGGGCCTCGGGGCGAGGCCGAGGGGAGGCAAAGCCCCAGAGACAGGGGTCTACTCGAAATCCACTGGACCCCTGCCTGACACGCTGCCCTCAGCTCACGCCGGGTGGTGCGCTGCACGGGCGAGCCGTGTCACCGCCAGCCCGCCGGCTGCAAAGGGACCCCCGGCGTGACGGCGTCGGCCCCTCGCTTCTGCCGCCGTGCGGTGAGCCCCGTGCCCTGGCGGGATCCTCACCGCTGGGGGCCCCCAGAGGGACTGTTGGCCCCACCTTTCGCATAGACCATTCGCTGCAGGCTGTCTTCATCTGCGGGGACTGGGAGCGAAGGCCATGCCCAAGACTGAGCACGGAAACCTTGGTCATCGTCCGACTTGGTCATCGCCAATCCGTGGACAATCCTCTGGAATCCGCAGCGGCCGGCATGGACCATGACCAAGATCGGCGTCGAAGAGGTCCCGCGACATCCTGGCCATGGTCGTCGTGCTCTCCCTCGCTTTCCGGTCGGCGTCTGGGTTAAGGCAAGGGGCCCCCAAGAGGGTGCTCAGCCGTGATAGTCCGCGTCGAGGCGGCAGGGAGAACGCCGTGGGCTGAGGGAGCTGCGGCCCCACCCGAGCGGCCCTGGGCCGCCTTCCGACCGACTGAAGGCCTCCTAGCTGGGGTCCGAGCAGATGGGGTCGGAGGATCACGCCGCATCCCCGATGCATCGCCAATGCATCGGGGACGTCGGGACGGAGCCAGTCGGGCTCCACATCACGCCGCATCCCCAGGGCGGCGAGATCATCCGACCCCATCCTCCCGGACCCCGCTTGGAAGGCCTGGGCGTGAAGCTCCCTTCCCGGCGCCCAGGCCAGGGACCGGGGTGGAGCCCCCCGCCCCCGACCCGACCCTGACAGGCCACGCCCGCACTGCGGCCGGGACCGTGCGGCGACAAGCCCGTCCACGGCTGCCTTGCGGCACGAGCTCCTGGACCGCAGCTCGACCGCAGCCTGGACCCGGGGCGCCGCGGAGCGAGCAGGGCTGCGCCGCGCGTCGGCGCGGTGCTCCTCTCCTCCCCTGCCTCCCGCCCGAGGAGCGACGGCCCGCGGGCCCCATCGCCAGGCGGGCCCGGAGCGGCGCCAGGGCCGGCCCGCGGCAGGCGGCCCCCGGGCGGAGGAGGAGGAGAAAGAGGAGGAGGAGGAGGAGGAGGAGGAGGAGGAGGAGGAGGAGGAGGAGGAGGAGGAGGTGGGGGAGGGGGGGCGGAACCGTTCGACAGGGCGTCTCCCAGAGCCGCGGGCCCGATCAAAAGAGGACGGCAGAGCGCATCGACGGCGGCAGCGAGGACTGGCGACACAGTCGTCGTGCCCCACCGTGGGGAGCGAGGAGGGAGACACGAAAAGGGGGGGGGGGTCCGGCCAGGACGAGCGCCGGGACCACGGGCAGGTGCTCCCGCCTGGACCCGCGGAACCGCCCGCGGGCCAGATCCCCCCCTGGGGCCAAAGTCGCCCTGGTTCCAGCGTCTTGACTACACATCGGCGAAGAATGCCTGTCAGCCATCGGCAGACACTGGCCACCAAGTGATTGGCCAGGGTGCTGGATAGCAGCAGCAACCCTCAGCAGCCTCAGCACCAGCGGCAGCACCGAATTATGTCCCGGGGCGTCCAAGACCGGGATCGATGGGGGAGCGATGATCGGTGGCGGTAGGCGGCGCTACATGTAGCCTGTCTCCTGCTTACGCAGCAGGGGAAGGCTCTTGCGCCAGATAGCTCCAAAAACGATCAGAGAGAACATTGGCGGCACACGCGGGCCTGAGCGCAGGCTGGGGCAGGACAGAGCAGGTTGAGGTGCAGGGAGGTGCGAACGTGCGCCGAGTTGCCAGCTGAGCGCCCACTTGCACATGAATTTGTGGCGGAGCGCTCGGGCTTGCTGCTGTTGACCTCATGCTCACAAGATTATTCGCCGTGGCTGGGTTCACAAGAATACTCGCTTGATGAAAACCATCGGGGTGTCAGCTGCAGCCTCCAGCGTGCCCCCACCATCTCTGGCATTGAGCTGAAATCACCCGGGGGGGAGGAAGGAGCAGAGAGGAGCGGGAAAGGATGGGGCTGAGAGGCAGGAGGCGAATGGAGGATCATCGTAGTGCTCAGTGACTCAAGTGAACCCACTTCGACGCACCAATAGTCTGCACGCCGAAGTATGCGGCACGATAGGAGCTTCAAATGGATGCTGCAGCCAAGGCAAAGACTCACGAGACTGTCCTCCTCCCTGCTCTCTCTTGCCAGCTGGCCCAAGTGGGCCATCTCAGCGGCACATTAAGGCCCTCTTGGGCTGTCGCGGGCTCTTGGAGGCCTCTTGGGGCCTCCTGGGTCTCTTCAACCATCCTGGAGAAGTTCTCGAAATCCCGTGCGGACGCGGGAGAGATCTGGGACGGGCCCGGGCGGCCCCGAAGAGCTTCTGATCCGCGCCTGAAGACGTGTCCTCCCCGAGCCCTTAAGGAAAGACCCTCTGGGGCAATCCCGGGAGAAGTCCGGAGAAGCCTTGCTATGAAGCGTGCTGAGAGGATCCTCCAAATGCCCCAGAGCCTCAGCGGGTGCCTGGGGCCATCGGGGGAGGCAGGGAGGACGGGGGAAGAAGGACGAAGAGTGCAGGAAGGAGGACGACGAGGACGACGAGGACGAGGACGAGGACGAGGACGAGGACGAGGACGAGGACGAGGACGAGGACGAGGACGAGGACGAGGACGACGACGACGACGACGACGACGACGGCGACGGCGACGGCGACGGCGGCGACGACGGCGACGACGACGGCAGGCTCTCGCCGTGCGCTCGGGGGGCCCCCTGGGGCCGCTCGGGGGGGCCGTCCTGGAGGGGTGCCGTGCCGGGAGGGGCCGCCGCGGGGGCAGGGGGGAGGCCCCCAGGGAGGGGGGAGGCCCCAGGGAGGGGAGGGGAGAGGCCCTCCTCCTCCTCCTCCTCCTCCTCCTCCTCCTCCTCCTCCGCCTCCCTCCTCCTCCGCCTCCGTGCTTCTCCTCCTCCTCCTCCGTCCTCCTCCTCCTTCCTCCTCCTCCTCCTCCTCCTCCTCCTCCTCCTCCTCCTCCTCCTCCTCCTCCAGGGGGGGCCCCCATGGAGGGGGGGGAGGGTCTGGCGTTGAGGCCACACGTCGTTCACTTCTAATCGTGCTCATTTCTAATCGTGCTCGTGTCTAAGCGTTCCTGCCCCCGCCCCGGTGGCCAAGAAGAGGCCCAGGATAGAGCAATTAGAGATGAAAGGATCTTGGCCCCCAAAAATCAAAGGACTCAAAGAATTAGAAGTGAACAATGTGTACCAAGTCTGGGAGCAAACCGCGGTGCTATGATGGCCAGACTCCCTTGGGGCCCTCTTGGGGGCTCTCCTGGGGCCCTCTCGGGGCCTGTCGGGCGCTACTGGGCCATCCTGGGGGCCTCTTGGGGCTGTCTCGTGGCCTCCCGGGGGCCTGGAAAAACTCCTGAGATCACCTCAAGCCGAGCCCCGCGCGATACCTTTTCCAGAACTCAACCACATCGTACAACGTATTTTGTCTTGTGCCCACCCGCCCACCCGATCTTCAGCAGGGGCCCTCTGGGGCCACCTTGGGGGGCATATTCTGGCTCTCGACCTCTGGATGGTATCTAGGTGGTCTCGCAGCAGTCGTCGGCCATCTCGGAGGCGTCTTGGGGCGCTCGTGCGTCGCCCTGGGATCAGTCGGAGGCCTCCCTTGGGCCGTGTGGTGGCCCTCCAGGCTGCGCCTTGGGCCACCTTGTGGGGAGCGCGGGCCTCTCCTGGGCGCTGCTCTCGGGCTCTCCTGGGCACTCCTGAGGCCACACGCGGCTGGGGAGCAAAGGGCGTACGACGACGACGAGGGCGACGCCGACGACGACGACGCCGACGCCGACGCCGACGACGGCGACGGCGACGACGACGACGAGGACGACGAGGAGGACGACGACGACGACGACGACGACGACGACGACGACGACGACGACGACGACGACGACGACGACGACGACGACGGGGACGACATATGCAAGCCCCCGCAGTTTCGGTGCTGCTCGCTTGTCCGTGGCGCCCCTCTCGGTGCCTCTCCGCGGGCCTCTTCCGTGCCCCTTCTTGGAGCGCCCCGCGCGGCCCCCCCCCGGGGGATCTCTTTGGTGAGTCCGTGGGGCGATCCTTCGACGCCTGCTGGGCAGTCTTGGAGGCCTCCTGGCCATCCATGGCTGAAGGGGCCCCGGGACACACAAATAAATACACACAAATAAAACTATTCACCATATGTTCTGATATTTTCTGGGTTTCTGTCTTCCCCCCAATTCCCATACTTGCCCATATTTTCGGGGGAGTCGACGATTAATGGTGTCTGTGTGTTTCTTTCCCTCCTGAATGGCCTGTCTTCGCGGCCGACCCGAGCCCGAAGAGCGCTCCGACGGGAGAGCCGACCGTCCGGAACAGGGGGCGCCACAGCCAGAGGGCGAATTGGGGACCCCCTTGGTCCAGGCATGCCCCCATGGGACACTCTGGAAACATCGAGCTGCCATTCGCATGACTGGGTTGGACTGTGTCGGCGCTCTGTGGGGCCGTCGTGGAGCTGTCTCCTTGAGGCCGCTAGGGCCCCTCTGGATGCCCTCTCGGTCCGTCTTGGGGCCCTCGTGGGCCAGCTTGGGTGCTCCCTCGGCCGCTTTTGGACTCTTGGGCCATGCTTGTGTTCATTCACGTCGCGGCCGTTCTAACACGTTCAGCCTGCTTCCCCTCAATTGCTATATAAGTCTGAAACAGAAGTGGCAAACTGGCACAATAGGTACCAATAGTATAAGCGTGACGACAGCATGAAAGCTGCTGGAGGTTGGAGGCGGCCAGGGGGTCTGAGCTGGATAGGCGCAGAGAAAATCTCTCGGGGGGAAGCGAGAGAGAGAGAGAGAGCGATGGCAAATTACATCGATCCCCAGACCCCTCCTCCGGTCGAAATCGATATGTCTTTCGGGCCGCGTCCAGCGTTGGCGACAAGAGGGGGCCCCTTTCTCCCCCCTTTCTGCTGGCTGGAACTGGTGCTGGGCCAACTACTTCAGCCTCCCAGCGGGCGCCAATGCCAATCCGTCAGCGTGAGGGCAGCTTGAAATTTACTGTAGGATTGCCCGAATAGTGCCAGACGTTCATCGCGCGCGGAGGTCATGGCATCTGCTCACAATAAAGTGCGGCTGCGGGTCAGGGCGGTCCTGCCGCAATGTCAGGCGCACCGAGAGCACATCACCGTGCTGCACATGCACAGCCCGATCAATTGGCAAGGGCTGGCACCGTATGCACCAGTGGCGTTGGCGGAAAGGCGGCAGTTCCTCAAACGGATTCGTAGTGATCTGAATCACCCCCTCATCATCCAGCCAAGCGTCCCACCAGACGAGGACAAAGTGGCAAGTTCCCGCGCTTGAGACAGGAATTTTGAACTCTCGCACAAAGTCGCGCTGCGAGAGCAGAGGGTCCTCTGGGTCAGCCAGGTCAACTGCCACTGCGACCTCAGGATAGGTCAACTGCTTTACGGATGAATCTAGGGACGGGGCCTCCAGTAAACGATGCTCGACTCGGAAGGCGTTGAAGGCCGAGACGTCGAAGCCTTCAATTTCTCCCGCGCATGTGCCCAAGTGGAACTGATCCCACTCTACCACTGCAAAGGACAGAATGACGCGGGACGGTATTACCCGCGCACCTGGTGCGAGCAGGCGCAGATGTGCATCGCGAAACGTTGCCAATATACCTTCTCCGAACAGGCTTGACGACAAGGTCTCACTCACCATAACATCGGCACGTCTTGGCAAGTCTTCTGGCACGCGCAAGCTATGCGAACTTTTTGCCAGCAAGGGAAAGACAACACCGTTGGCTCGCATAACATACGCGGCAACTCTGGCGAAACTCTGGTTTGCTTCACACGCATACACTTCACCTCCCGCCTTTGATGCCATCATGCTCAGCAAGCCAGTGCCAGCGCCAACATCTAAAACGCAGTCCCCAGGCCGGATGGCTTTTTGCAATGCTTGATTAAACTTCTGCGCGCGTGCCACGTCCCTCAGCATCGCAAAGTGCCACCCATTTGCAGCCCGGACTGCCTCTGGGAAATCATGTCTTTCGCCAAGACCCCGAACCTCTTCACAATTTACTGCCGTGCGGGTTCCAAACTTCAGAGAAGTCGACAGGGCTCTCAACCAATGGTGCCACATCTCTCCCATGCGCTCTCAAATCCAACGGACGCTTAGAGATGAAATTGACTGGCTGGAAGTCTAAGTTGTTTTGACTGAGCCAGCAAACGTGCAGACCGCAGCGTGTGAGCAATATGCCGCTGAGGGCTTTGTCCAAAACTTGGGCCAACAAGGCTACGGATTAAAGGCTGCCAGGTCACCTTGGAGCCCTCCTGAGGTGACCCCACTCCGCTCCACAACCCTGGCGCACCAACGCTTGTACTCGAGCGCGGTGGCGATGTACGCGAACCACGGCGCCGCCGAGACGATGCGGTGGAACGGGAAGTTGTAGGGGTCCTGGGGGCGACCAAGACAGGAGGGCTCCTGTGGAGGTGATGGCTTCCGAGAGCCCACGCAGCAATGGCTGGGGCTGCGCACAAACGGCCCCCGCGAGGTAGCCCAGGATGACCTCGGCAAGGAGGGAGAGGAGGGGGAGGAGGAGGAGGAGGAAGAGGAGGGGGGGGAGGAGGAGGAAGAGGAGGAGGAGGAGGAGGAGGAGGAGGAGGAGGAGGAGGAGGAGGAGGAGAGGAGGAGGAGGGGGAGGGGGAGGAGGAGGAGGAGCAGGAGGAGGAGGGGGGGGCGGGTAGGGTAGGCAGGGCCACCAGGCGAAGGCTGGCCCAGGGCGGCCTCAGCAGCCCGACCCCGGGGTGCTGAGGCATCGCAGGAGTGCTGAGCTGGGCCTGCACTGCCCTGGGGGCCCGCGCAGGCCAGCCTCGACGACTACCTCCCCAGACGTGCTCGCGTCGTAGCACACTATTGGACATCGTTGAACCGATCCCCATCCCCAGCGGCGTGGCCTGGGCCACACTGGCCGATTCACCCCCCCCCTATATGGGGATACAGGTCGTTCTCTTCGGGTTTCGAAGGAAGTATCCCCTAAGTGGGGTGGTAATTTGGTGGGGGTCTCGAAGGGGATGGAGATGGGGATGGGAATCGGTTAACCGATACCGAACTATAGCTAGAGACCAATCTCCCCTAACAGCGCTTTTCAAGCCAAGGTGCCCCCTTAGAATGTCCGCGCGCCCTGCTGCTCCAGATCGGCCTGCGCCTTCGGCGTCGTCGTCGAGCTTTTTTCGTCATCGCCGTCGTCTTCGTCGTCGTCGTCGTCGCCCTGCTCATCATCCGCATCCGCGTCATTCTCCGTCTCGCTCTCGCCCTCTTCCCTTCCACTACACCTTATCCTTCTCCTCACGTTCCTCCTCCTCCTCCTCCTCATCCTCCTCCTCCTCCTCCCCCTCCTCCTCCTTCTCCTCGTCGCAGTGCTACTTCTCCTTGTCCTCCTCGCAATCATATTTCGTCTCCTCCTCCTTCTCCTCGCATTCCTCCTCCTCCTCCTCCTCCCCCTCATCCACATCCTCCCCGCACATTCCTTCCTCGTCCGCCTTCTCCTCCTCCTCATCCTCCATCCTCTTCTCCGATTCCTCCGCCTCCTCAGACATGCCAAAGATGCCTTCGCACTCTTGATGCCATCTCCCTCTCTCCTCCCCCTCCTGCCTCCTCGCTGCTCACCGCGCTCTCGCTGGATGTATCTCCCACGACTTACCAAGTACGGTGCTCCCCCACGAAGCGCCCTCGCAGTCTGGCAAGGAAGCGTGCTCGCGCCGAAGCGCCCGCCACCTCCTCCACCGGGCCAGGAGTGCCCAGACCCCTCCCAGAGCACCATTCGACAACAGACATGTAATCAAATGGTTCGTTTGGGTATGAACCCATCCCCTCCTCCCTTCTCCTCCCTCTCGGAGCCCAGGAGTCCGGGGAGGTTTCAAGCACAACGGACCGGACCGCCTCGCGCGCAGCACGTGGAGCCCCAAAGTGCGAGGATGTCTCAAGCGAAACTTTTTGTTTTAATTCACCTTTTCCGGTAGAAGCTAAGCGGGCCGCGCGAAGCTTGAATTAACAAAGAGGGGGGGACAGAAGGAGAGGCCTCACGTCAAGGCCAGGAGGAGGAAAAGCTTCGGGATCAGGCGGTGCCGAATCTCAAGAGAAATAGGACAGACCACGTTGCACACGTCTCCTCAGATCCCAGAGTTGCGGGAGTGTCTCGGGCAAAACGGACCGAACCGCATGTCGCGCGGCAGATCGAAGCCCAGAAATCCGAGCATGTCTCAAGCGAAACGCGCCAGACAACCTCGCGCACGGCATGTCGGAGCACCAACATCTGACAGTGTCTCAAGCGAACCGGGCCCAACCACCTGCCACTTCGACTGCGGGCATGCCGAGGGTGTCTTAGGCGGAACGGGCCAGACGACCCCTCGAACGGCATGGCGGAATTCAGAGTTACGAGCATGCCTCGGGCGGCGCCCAGTCCACTCCCGGAACACAACCCGAATACAAACATGTAATCAAATGGTTAGTGTGGTTCTGATCCCTCCCCCCTCCTCCGTCCTCCATCTCGAAGGGCAGAATTGCCAGGATGTCTCAAACGAAGCAGACTGGACAACCTTGCGCCGCGCGGCATCTCGGATCTCAGAGCTGGGAGGATGTCTCAAGTGAACTGCGCCTCTCGCGCGGCACCTCGGCGCGCAAAGTTGCAAGGATGTCTCAGGCGAAACGGGCTGGACCACCTCTCGCGCGGCATCTCGGAACCCAAAACCGCCGTGCCAGAACGTCTCAGGCGAAACAGGCTGGACCGCCTTGTGCGCGGCATTTCGGACCTTGGAGTTGGGAGGATGTCTGAGGCGAAATGCGCTGGACCACCTCTCGCGCGGCATCTCGGAGCCCCGCATTGCGAGAATGTCTCAGGCGAAACGGGCTGGACCACCTCTCGCGCGGCATCTCGAAGCCCAGAGTTACGAGGACGAATCAGGCGAAACGCGCCGACCACCTCTTGCGCGGCATCTCGGAGCCCAGCATTGCGAGGATGTCTCAAGCGAGCCACGCCGACGAACCGCGCCAGACAACCTCTCGCGAGGCATCTAGGAGCTCAGAATTACAGGATGTCTTAGGTGGAACGCCCAATCCTGGCCAACTCGGACACGAGAATTGTGAGGATGTCTTGGGTGACACGGCCAAAACTCCTGACAATTTTCTGGATGTCGATGCGCCGGTCCCTCGGGCGGAACTGATTCCTACCACAGCAGCAGCCCAGTCAGCACAGCTGCCTGGGGAAACGCGACGTTCTGTTCTTCCCTTTTGGCCCTCTGAGAGCCTTCGCGGGGCCCCAGAGCCGTCCAAAAACGACCTGGGATGAAAGACGGGTCCCGGGGAAGGGGTCGATACCTCCGGAGGTCCACGCGTCGAACAAAAACAATGAAGCGTCGCATGTCTCAGGTCGGGCATGTCCCCCTACAGGGGGATTTTGGACCATTTTTTGTTTTGCTTTTTTGTTTGTTTTCCTTTTTTTTTAGTACCCCGAAATGGTCAAACATGGTTTTAGCAACATCGTCCCCTGACCATCTTTTTGACTAATTTTTGAAGGTTCCCCCAAGAGCGCTCCACGAGGGGTCCAAGAGGCGATGTTTGGCGCTCCCGAGCGGGGAACGTAATTCGCGAAATGTTGGCTCTCGCAGTCGAGATACTGAGCGGGTGTGTATGTCCTCCTTGATCGGCGGCCTGCATCAGCCTCAGCCTCAGCGTAGAGGGACAGGCCCGCCTTAACGCATGTCTGGGTCGTGGGGGGCCGTCGACGCGCCGCCCCCCCCCAGCCCTGCCCATCCCGGACCGCCGGGCGCCGCGGGGCACTCCACGCCGGGCGCGCCGAGTGCGCCACTGTGAAGGGGCCCCCCCCCGGGGGCCGCTCGCAGGCACCGAGGCGCCCTCCCCTGGAGCACGCTGGCTTGGGGGCTCCTCTCACTGGGGCGAATGGAAAGAGAGAGGGCGGGGAGGAGGAGGAGGAGGAGGAGGAGGAGGAGGAGGAGGAGGAGGAGGAGGAGGTGAGGTTAGGTTAGGTTAGGTTAGGTTAGACTAGGTTAGGTTAGGTTAGGTTAGGTTAGGTTAGGTTAGGTTAGGTTAGGGCAGCCCCGAGGGGAGGAGACTCGCGAGTCTGAAGCTGGGATCTCGAAGCACCCATCAGAGATGGATTGTCACCCTGGTGGACACAGGTCCTAACACTCTGACCAGGGCAGCGACATGGGTGCCAAGACCGACAATCTTTTCCGCCTTGTGAGCCAGCCTGGCTCTCACACGCTCCTGGAGTGCCGCCAGCTGTCTCCCGTATTCTGGAATGGAGGGGGCACAGGAGTGGGCGGGGGGAACAAACGTACGAGCTAGAGCCTTACGACGAGGCTTGGGATGCGCATGCAACTCTGACACCGCAGCAGTTTGCCAATGTACTGTCTAACGCGGTTGCTAGGGCCAAGATCCTTGGCGTATTTACTGAGCACTTCGCGGCCTGTCCTCGTGGGTCTCAAGCTGACCTTCTCGAGGTTGCGACAGCAACGCTGGGTTCAGCAACCACAACGAATGCATAAAAAACTGTGAAAGGTTGACTGTAGCTCTGGGAGGCACTGGGGCTCGGGGGTGGTTGTGTGCGAGGCCACACCAACGATCAGGTGCCCCAAGGAACGGCGAACGACCTGACGAACGAACTCGGGGGCCCCAGAGCATCCCATGGCCTCCTTCGGGGAGCCCCCGTGGTCAATCATCAAACAATGCTTGCACTGTGTTTCAAGCGGGCACTGCCCCTATTCATGCCATCCAGGCGAGAACTTGACTGACCTATGGCGTGCAAAAGGTCGCTCTCTCTTGGGCCTGGAGCGGAAAATCGGGAGCACAACAGCAGCAAACTTGGCAAAGATGGAGGCCGTCTTGACCCTATCTTCCAGCCTGCTGGCCGCCTCTGGGCCGACAGGCTGATGCATCTCAAGCGCCTCTTTGACGTGAATGTCGGCAGCACGGTTCGCCTTCGCTGGGCGACGCTCAACAGGCGGTAAATTATCTATCGCATCTCCACTCCGGTGGGCTTTGATATGATGTATAGAATCGACATGTCCATACCCTTCTCGAGACCTGGCAAAAGCTGAGACTCCTGCGATCACTTGGCTGGTACGAAGCTGTTCGTGTTCGGGCAAGAAGGCTTGGGCCATGGCAGCCTTACAGTTCGCATGGTTGCTGGTGCTGCGGTCAGCTATTTGGCAGGCGACGGCGAAGGAAACATTCTCAGCCATAGCAGGGGTCTGCAGAAAACCTCCAGGCACAGCGCCACGCACAACTGACAGGGTGGCTTCGGTCTGGGGGTACAAAAATCTACGGCAAAAGCAGCCCGCTGAAAGCGCGACAAAACTGGCATCAAGCTGCCGCCGTCCACTGCTAGATGTAGTTTGGTGCCTGGTCCAACAACGTTGGCGGCTTCCTCTGGCTCAAGGTCGGGGAAACGCTCTCCATCACCATTCAACACATGAGCGCACGGAGCTCCGAGTATGGGAGGGACGTCTCCTAGCAGCACCGAAACCACAGCTTCGCTAAATATCAAACTCAGGGCCGCCCCCTCGGGCCTCCTCTAAGGAAGACGCAGGGACTTCAGAGTCAGAACGTGCCTGTGAAGCCGCAGGGAGAAGGCAACAGTAAAGACGGCGGCGCACAGTATCAAGGACTACACATTCACAGTCCCGCCCTGGAGGTGCAATGCCCATTGGCATGGGCCATCTGATCCGCCCATAGACAAGCACAGGTTGCAGCACGACCTATGGAACTTCGTATATCTGGCTGACTTGGCCCTCAAACAGCTCCTGACCACTTCTGGGTTAGCCCTCACCCCAGCAAAGAACCTCCACCTCTCCCCCAACGCCTTCTCATTGGCATCCTGGAGAGCGGTGCTAAACATCCTACTTGACATGGCGGGAGAGCACTGTGTGAGCTGAATCGTTTTACCGTCCTGGTTCACCCACGCAGTGGCCGAGGCAGGCTTCCGCCTCACTCGGGCAAGGCAGGGCGGCACCCTGGACATCGGGCCTCGGGTCTGGGCCAGCGTGAGATCAGCTCCTTCCTGTGGGCAAAAAACGTGGTCCCACACGGGCACCAAGCCTGGCATGCTCGCCAGGGCGACCTCCGGAAAAGACATGGCTTGCCAGATCATTCTGCACCACCGGGGTGCAGGTGCCATGGCCTCTCGAACAGGAGGAGGAGGAGGAGGAGGAGGAGGAGGAGGAGGAGGAGGAGGAGGAAGAGGAAGAGGAGGAGGAGGAGGAGGAGGAGGAGGAGGAGGAGGAGGACGAGGAGGAGGAGGAAGAGGGGGAGGAGGGGGTGGAGGGGGGAGGAGGGGGCAAGCTTGGCGCAGCGGCTGGCACCTCGCGTCGCGGGCGCTGGGTGGGACATGGCCTGACGACGGATGGAAAGCAGCGCCATGTCGTCAGCTCCGTTGGTCTCGACACCACACTGCGCAATCATCTTGGTGCCAGTCTTGTAGACTCGTCCGGGTCGCCCATCGGAATTCTTCATGGACTTGAGCTTGGCCGCCTTCCCAGGCGAAAGGTCAAGGGCACTTCTGCCAGCACAAGCTCCCAAGTACAGGCGGTACACACAGCGATGCAGTTCAGCAAGATCTCGACGTCGTAGTCTCTGTCAAACTCGTTAAAGTCCAGAGTGCGACAATGTGACGATATCCATGATCGGGTTAGGCCAGCATAGGCATCAATGTGAAACACAGCTGCCTCGTTAAAAGACCACTGCGCTCGCATGTCTCAAAAAGCGCTGCCATGGTCTCCAAACCAGCATCAGATAACAGCGCAAAAGGAGGAAGAGGAGGATGAGGAGGAGAGGGAAGAGGAGGAGAGGGAGGAGGACGAGGAGGAGGAGGAGGAGGAGGAGGAGGAGGAGGAGGAGGAGGAGCAGGAGCAGCAGGAGGATGGAGATGAGGAGCAAGAGGAGGAGAAGGAGGAGGAAGATCAGGAGCAGCAGCAGAAGGAGGAGGAGGAGGAGGAGGAGGAGGAGCAAGAGCCGCCTACCCCTTTTCCCTGGAAGCCCCGAGCCGCTCCAGAGCGCCCCCGAAGAGTGCCCCCCGCGATCGAAGGCCGACGCCCTCTCGGAGGGCACGTGCGACGGCGGAAAGCGCCCTGGCAGACATCCGACGTCGCGCGTGCTGTCCACGACGTGGGCCCCCCTCTCCTCCATCCTATTATCCTCCTCCTCCTCCTCATCCTCCTCCTCCTCCTCATCATCATCCTCATCCTCCTCCTCCTCCTCATCATCATCATCATCAGCAGCAGCAGCATCATCATCAGCACCATCCTCATCCTCATCTTCAGCATCATCATTGGCGCTCCCGACCCCCTGTGTGCCAGTGCTCCGCTGCCGCGGGCCGCGTTCGAATCGGGGCGGGACCCCCGGCCGCGCGCACGCGCAGAGGGGGGGGGGGGTAGGGGGAGGGGGGAAGGCCTCTCAGAAGCACCCCCTGCTTCTCAGAAGGCGCGGGCCTCCTCCCGTAGGTGTAGGGGCCGCGCCCTCCTCCGAGAGCAGGGGGTGCTTCTAGGAAGCCTTCCCCCCCCCCCTGCCCATAACCCCCCCCTGCGCGCGGCCAGGACCCAGCACTCCGGAGGACCCCGGCCGCCGCGGCCTGCTCTCCGAGGCGGCGGGAGGCCGCGGGCCCCAGCTGTGCAGCGCGCACGCGCGGGGGGCCCCTGCCCCGTCGGGCAGGCCCCCGGAGCCCCTGCCCAAGGGGCAGACGCCGCTCTGGGCCGTTCCAGACATGGCCACTCGACGGGCCCCGGCCACGAGGACGACCACGGAGGGCGCAGCGCGCTCGGGAGCGCCATCGGCGCGGAGCCGTGCGAGGGCGGAGGCCCCCAATGTCCGCGGAGGTTTCTCGAGGCGTCCAGGATCCCTCGGGTAGGAGAGGAGGAGACAAAGTCAGTCCGCACATCAAACATTCGAAGGTCCGCGCCAACTTTCGGGATCGGCGCTAACCCCCTGGCGACGCCTCCGTCGCCACACCTGACGCGCTACGCGCGGGGGGAGCCCAGCGCCGATCCAAGAGATCCGCGCAGCCTCCGAAAGCTTCTGCTTATGTTGCTGTTTCCATCTCGACCAAGGGGCCAACACACATCCGAGGACATCTCTTCGCCTTTCTCCCCCTCCTGACAAGTCAGGCACCCCCCCATACGGTGAGGAACTTTTGCACGGCGCCGCGCAATCCCGACAGCTGCGGCAGTGGCGTCTGCGACACGCTGTTTCCTGCAGGCAGATAGCGTTTCGCTCCGCCCCGCGGTGCGGCGGGAGGCCGGGAAGGGCTCGGGACGTGACGCTGGCGCTCGGGAACCGGGAAGTGGTCAGCCTGACGCGCCGAAGCATGGCGGGCTAGAGCTGGGGGCGCGACGCGCTAACCCTGAAAGGTCCTTAGAACCCCCCATAGGGGGTAACTCATTATTTCTTCGGCGGCCTTACTGTAGGGCTGGGGTCCCACCAACAGGGGGTGGCTCATGCTGTTTTGCCGCGGCACCCGCCGCGCGACAACGACGACGACAGCTACAACTACGATTAGGCCCACGACTACGACGACTACTTCTACTCATGCGTCAGGAGCGCGCTAACGGAAAAGGGTGAGGAGGAGGAGGAGGAGGAAGAAGAGGCTTGTAGATTGCAGGACCCGAGAAAAGGGGGGACCAAAACTGAACACCTTTGGCGGCTGCGTGAGCGACAACCCCCGACCGTTGCCCGGCACCCTTTGGGGCCGAACCGCGGTCGTTGAGCTGCGCCGGGCAGATGTCGAGGGTCAAGATCAGCTGCTGCAAGATCGTCACCTGGGGCGGGGGGGAAGGCCCGTCTCGCCTCACCGCCGTCCTTCCGTGCCCGCCTGTCTGGATGAGGGCCCGAGCACCTCGCCAGTGCGGCGCACCCCCAGCGAGGCGCCGCAGGGGCGTCCGAGACCACAGCCCCGCGACCCTGGGCGTCCCGAGGTGGGCCCCGAGGCCCCCGTCCCCATGGTACGTCTGCTGTGGGGTGCGTCTGGCTTCCTCCTTACTACTCCCTCCTCAAACTCCTCCTCCTCCTCCTCCTCCTCCACCGCCTCCTCCTCCTCCTCCTCCTCCCCTCCCTCCTCCTCCTCCTCCTCCTCCTCCTCCTCCTCCTCCTCCTCCTCCTCCTCCTCCTCCTCCTCCTCCTCCTCCTCCTCCTCCTCCTCCTCCCCGGTCGGACGGTCGGTCGTCCGGTCGGGATCAAGGCATTGGTGTCCTAGGACGAAGCCAATGCCAAAGGGGCAGTGCACAGAGCAATGGGGAGACGACGACAAAGGTGGCAACGGTGGCATCCCTCCCCCTCCTGCTCCTCTTCCTCCGCCGTTTCCGCCTTCTCCTTCTCCTCTTCCTCCTCTTCCTCCTCTTCCTCCTCCTCCTCCTCCTCCTCCTCCTCCCCGGTCGGACGGTCGGTGGGTCGGTCGGTCGGGATTAAGGCATTGGTGTCCTAAAACGAAGCCAATGCCAGAGGGGCAGTGAACAGAGCAATGGGGAGACGACGACAACGGTGGCAACGGTGGCATCCCTCCCCCTCCTCCTCCTCCTCCTCCTCCTCCTCCTCCTCTTCCTCCTCCTCCTCCTCCTCCTCCTCCTCCTCCTCCTCGTCCTCATCCTCGTCCTCGTCCTCCTCCTCTTCCTCCCGCTCACGTTCCTCTCCTCCTCCTCCTCCTCCTCAAATTCCTCTTCTCCTCCCCCCTCCTCTCCCTGTCGCCGGCAAGATGACGCACCCGACCGCGAACACGGAGCGCGTCTCGGCGAAGTGGTGCCTGGGAAGCTGCCGCCACAGCCGCCCGTCCAGTCATCGTCTCCCCCCCTCCAGTAGGAGGAGCAGGAGGAGGAGGAGGAGGAGGAGGAGGAGGAGGGAAGCCATTTGGCCTCTTGGGGCCAGCCGATCCCGATCGATCCATCGGGGTCGGTCGGCGCCTGCCGCCCGATCGATCGCGGTGGCAGGGCGCATCGCGCATCGGCCAGCCCCCGAGGCCGGGCTCACGCGCGCCGCGCGCCATACCCTGCGGCAGGGGGCCACCCGTGCCTCCCTGTCCCCTGCCGCAGGCCGCGGCGCTCGCGGCCGCGCTGCGGCCAAGCGGCGGGACGCCGCGTCATCATCGAGGAGGAGCTCCAGAGGGCGCTGCCCACCGCCGCGAGCGGCAGCAGAGAGCCCAGGACAGGCTCCTGCTCCGCCTGCGGGCAGCGGCCGAGCGCCTGGCCGCCCACCACTCCGCCCAGCCAGCGATGGCTCGTGATGGTAAGGGCAGAGGCGGTGGTGGCCGTAGCGGCAAAGGCCAGGCCCAAGAGGAAGAAGCACCGCCAGCAGCGCCCCCATGGCGTCAGGAGAGGTGGCACGGCGCTGGCTGGCGAGAACAGCACTGGCACGCCGAGCCAGCTGCTGAGGAACCGCCCTGGCGCAGGGAGCCGTCGCGGCCACGACGCTCTGGCCAGGCCAGCCCTCGCCAATGGCCACAGCAGCAGCACCAGCAGCCCAGTCAGCATCCCTGGCAGCAGCAGCAGCAGCAGCCCAGGGCGGGCAAGGGTGGCCAGGCCAGCTCCAGCAAAGCGGACCAGCGTGCTCAAAAGGTCATCGACTCAGTGGCGGCATGCACGCTGGACCAGGCCACCACCCACCCAAAGTGGCAGGCGCCCCCGGCCGACCGCGCAGGCATCCAGAAGTTCTTGAGCACCGCCGATCAGAGGCTGAGGAAGCTGGGCGACCTGATCATTGCCAAGCAGGCCGCGGGGGACAGCACTGAAGAGCAGTTACGGGAGATCGCGGTCATCAAGTATCAGAAGCTGGTCACGAGAAGGCCGAACGACCAGCTGCAGGTGCTCAGCAAGAGGCGCAAGGCCGTCAAACTCGAAGTCATCGCCCTAGAAGCCAAGTCGAACGAGCTGCGGGACGACCTCAAGGCCAAGCAGCAGGAGTTGAGGCAGCTCGAGTCCAACATCGCCGACGTGAGGGCTGTGCTCGCCGACGGCGGCGCGGCGGACGACGAGGGCGACTGGGACACGGACGGGTTCGGCTTGGCACCGAGCTGGGATGCTTTCCACAAGGCTGTGATTGACAGGCGCCTGAACAGCGAAGCACCTGGTGACGGACTCCCAGCTTGGCCATCAGGAGTGGTAGGGCAATCGCCACGATCAAGAGCCAGCTCGGCAGGCAGCGCAACCAGAGGCTTCGCAGATCAGGTGGCCAAGGCAAATGCGGAGCGGGCCCACCAGCAGCAGCGCCATGCCGAAGCCGAGCAAGAGTTCGCTGCCGAACTGGCGGAAGTAAGGAGGGTTGCTCGCGAACAAGCACTCCGCCACAATGGCGAGCAGGCGAAACTGAGGCTGGCACTCAAGGAGGAGTCAGAGCAGCTGCAGCGCATCACCGCAGCGGAGAGCGCAGCCCAGCAGCAGCAACAGCAGCAACACAAGGCCCTCCGACATGAGATCAAGAGGCAACAATACGAGCAGCTCGAGTTCGCGACGCAGATGGAGGCCAGAATAATCAGCCATGACACAGCCTTCACTCATGCCAAGGCAGAGGCGGAAGCCGCGACACACCGGGCAAATCACCTGCATGAGCAGCTCGAGCAAGTACGAGCGGAGCACCGGGAGAAGCCGCAACCCCAGGACGGCGCCTACCAAGACCTGATGAGGGCAAGAGCCGAGGCACAAGAGTCACTGCGACGGGCCCAGCATGAGAGCGCCCAAGCGACAGCTGCAGCGGGTAATCTCAAGCAGCAGCTCGCCAGGCAGGAGCTGGTCATGGAAGAGAAGCTCCAGGAGGCCAAAAAGAACCACGCCCTCGAGATAGAAGCTGCCGCCGAATCAGCCAGGGTCCAGGCAATCGCCCAGGCTCAAGTGGTTGCCAACGCCAAGGGAAAAGGGGCCCTCCCGCCGGCAGAGGCGGCCAGGCTGCAAGGGATCGCCCAGACAGCAGCACGGCAGCAGGAGCGGCTCAAGCAGACCAAAAACGAGCTCGAGGCAGCTGAAGCCCGCATACACGAGCTACAGCAGTACTCCAAGCTTGAGGCGGGCGCTGCGCAGCGGGCAGCACAGGTGGCATACCATGAAGCAGCGGAGCTGAGAAGCGCCAACAAGGAGCGGCAAGTCCCGCATGAGGTGCAGGCTTTGCAGTTCGCCCTGCTAAGGACCAGAGCAGAGGAGGAGGAGATCGCGAAGGCCAGCCTGAAGGACAAGGAGGCAATGCGGGCAGAGCTCGAAGGCAGTGTTGAGGGAATAAGGGCGAGTCTCACCCGCCAAGTCATGATAGAAGAGGCGAACGCACATGACTTGCAGCTGCACACAGAGAGCCTGCGACAGGAACTGAGCAGCTACGCGGTGCAGCTGAGCGAGCAAAAGTCCAACGCAGAGGTGCAGGAGCAGGCGCTCGAGGAGGAGCTCGCCCAGGCCCTCACCTTCAGGATCGCCAGCATGGAGGAGGCCTCCGCCATGGAAGACTTCGCCAGCCAGCAGAGGACGGGCAGGGAGGAGGCTATCCACCTTGCGCTGCAAGAAAGCCTCCAGCGCTCCAGCACGCTGCACACCGAGCTAGACGCCATCGCAAAGAAGGAGCAGCAGGGCGCGTCGGAGACAGAGGAGCTAAAGCTGAGGATGCAGAGCCTGGAAGCCATCGCAGCCAGCAGGGAACGCGAACGCAAGGCCATGGTCAACCTGTACGCCGAGATGAGGCAATACGGACAGGAGGGCTACGACTTCACCAAGAGGGCAGCTCATCATCTCGTCCAAGGGGGCCACCTCCCAACGTCCCAAGAGTCCATGGACGACTACCAGGAGGCCGCCGACCTGTACGAGGAAGCCAGAGGAGCAGCCGAGGCAGCGGCCGCCACAGTCGAGCCCCCCGTTGCGACCTTCCAAATTGGTGCAGCTGAAGAGCGCCCAGCCAACCGGGGCCGCAGGCAGAGCAGCCCCTCCCCTCGGAGGCCCGCATCAAATAGGTCAGCCAGGTCAGCAACCCGCCAGACCGACGAAGGCGAGGCCCTCCTCACAGAGCGTGACAGGTCCAGGAGCCCCGACAGGCCAGACCCGCACGAGGAGGCAGAAAGATACGAGCGCGAACAAGATGAGTTGCACAGACAAGCTGCTGAGGAGAAAGCACAATGGGAAGCCGTACAGATGGAGGAGGAGCTGGAGTCCGTAGTGAGGGACCACGAGGCGAAGGAGATCCAAAGGCGCTACTACGAGGAGGCCCCCCTGACCCAGTTCGGCACAGCGGGCACGCAGGACTCACGAGCGGAGGACGACGGCTCGGAGCACGCGCCGATGATCTACCCCGCCAGGTGGCCGCCCTGGAGCCAGGATCACCCCACACCCGATGAGGGCGATGAGATGAGGGGGATCACGCAGCACGAGGCAGACACAGACCTGGCATCCACGTCAAGGGCTAGCTCGATACCAGCAGAGCAAGGAGACCCTCCCACCCCGACAGCATCTCAGGTAATCCTCATTCCAGCATCGCCAGCGCCACTCAGCGAGATGTCACTCACGCCCACAGTTCCATTCGGGCATGAGGAGCAGCGCGGCCACGGTGGTGGAGAGGGAGCCGGCAGCTTCGTATTGACCCCTCCCCCTGCGTCCCAGCAGAACGCGGAGGCGGCAGGGGCCAGCATCGAGAGGCAGTATGAGGGCATCGACATCATGACGCGCCAGCACACCTCAGCCGCCGCCGCAGCTGCAGCCCTCGAAGAGGCGTTCGGTCCAGTGCCCGCATTTCCAGGAGAAGACATCAGCCAGGCCCACAAGGGTCAGCGGGTAGACTCTGGAGAGTCAGGCATAGCCCGTTTTCGTGGCCGAGTGGCCCGCAGGAGGGACGAGACAAGGGGCACAGCAACCCCCTCCCCTCCTGCAACTCCTGGAGCCGAGGTGCAGGCAGCAGCAGCGCCCGCCGAATCCCCCCGAGGGGGGGAGGGGGCCTAGCAGCGCCGCCAGGCTTCAGGTTATGCATGACAGAATTCATCGCCAGGAGGCGGCCGATGAGTCCAACAGGGCAGAGCACGACGGATGTGGGACTTCGTCACGCTCTCCGATCAGTTCGACAGCATCGATCTCCTGGGCAGCATCGGGGAGAGCAGCTGGGGCCCAAAGCCCGCAGCACGGCAGTGGGGTCCTCCACTACGATGCTCGACCTACCCACCACCAGAGGCTTGACAGCACGGCGGGCCCTGGAGGTAATTGCGACAGCCGTCTTGTAACAAATGGACCAGCGGAGATTCCGACAATCTCGCGCACCAGATCAGGTACTCCCAGGAGTCCAGGGTCTCGAGGGGCCACGACTCCAAACAGATGTGATACCGCAACGGGCATCGGCAGTGGGGTTGCCACTCCCAATCGCAGCAGCCAGCATCAGCAGCGGTATAAGTCACCTGGGTCTCGAGGGGCCAATGTGACACCACCACGGCCGACACGAGGGCCGCCCGCCGCGTCTCGAGGGGCGCTAGGCGGCAACCAAGGCGGCCCACTACCAGGGAGGAGTGAGGCATCCGCCAATCTGTCAGCACTCCAGGTCACAAGCCACCAAGATGGCTGCAAGGATGCGTTACCGGCTGCCCTTGCAATCAGTGTGCAACCCTCCGCCATTCGAGTCCATGAGATCGAGAACGTGGAAAGGACCTTTCTCGACGGTCAAAACTCGGCTGGCAGCGAGGCAGAGGATGGCATGGAGCAGTGCTACGAGAACTGGAGGCAAGCGTGCGCAGTTGCAGCCTTCCGAACAGCCCAGCGGAGTGCACGCCGCGCACGGCGTGCTGCGGAGAGCCACAGTCGT